CTCAGGGAAAAGGGCGGCCTATAAATGTTAATAAACTCATAAACTCATAAACTCATGATAAATGCAGCTTTGTGTTCCAGCAACCAAGCTAAAAGCCCGGGCATATTTACTTGGGAGAAAAACGTATTCTGATGAGTAATACTACATGGACAGAAGAGAGAGCTTGCACACACCCTAGTCAGAACCTGCAGATCCCCAAGAGTGGCAACTGTAGTTTCCATATCTGCAGCCCGAATGGCCGGTGCTTGATTGAACTCCAGATGACAGTGAGACCCTATAAAACATCCTGCAGTCTGACATTTTGTAGCCCCAAGCTTCACTTTGAGTGAGTTTATTTTCGTTTCACTCTTTTCCCCAGAAAATCCTGGAACAGTTGGGTTGTTTAAATGCTGAAAACATAAAACAAAATTCCTCCGGAATAGTAATATAGTTTTTCTTTTTTTCAAAAAAGCAGCAAACTAAACTAAACTAAAGTTAAAGGTCATTTGGCCACGTGGTCCGATAAATAGGATAGAGCTCTAAAATAGAGCTGTTTTCAAACAGAAACTGTAATCCCGACATCTGGCATATTCCAAACTCACGAAGGCTTTCAGCTTAATTCTTTTTAAACAAATCTCGCAGCATCCCCCTAAATTCCACGGGCAGTTCACCACCGGCTGTGCGGAAGATCGCGCCGCGCTTGTCTGTTTGCTTGGCGCGGGGAGGGCGGTTAATTAACTCTCGCATTTTGTCCGGTCTGCGAAACGGACGCTTCCTCCCTCGTCCGCTTCTTTTGCTTATCCCTTTTGCAAACGGCTGTAATCGAGGGGCCGGAGAACTTGTGCCACGTCCCCGCGCGGGAGGAATTGAGGGAGGAAGCAGCAAACGCCAAGCAGATGGAAGCGAAAAAAATTGGGAGCCACCGCGCGCGCACGAGAGAGAGAGAAGAAATATCTTGTGACTTACCGGGCTTTTTGCCCCACCATTCAGCCCACTGCACGGTGAGATCGCTGTCAGCTCGGATCCAGCGTAGGAACTGCAAGATTAGGTAGGCTATGAAGCTGCCCACCGCAATGCACTTAAGGCAGATCTCCATGGCGCGCAGAGAAGTCGGGAGCGTGGCACGAGTTGAGAGCAAGAAGAGCCCCTTCTTATAAGCAGAAGGTTGAGCTCTTCGCCCGCTGTCCCAAGCAGGGAGTGGCCTCTGGCTACAGGCGGGCCTCTTGCCCGGGGTAGAATGGCTTTTGCGGGGGTGGAGTTTCTTCTCCCCGCCTTCCCCTCATCATGTGCCCTTTACAGTCCCCACCACTTGGTTTGCAAGACTTTGGTCACAATTTTTTTTTGCAAACTTTTGCAAAAAGATAAGGGGAGCCGGCTTGGGCTCTGGGGGACAGAGAGGTTTAGAGTAGGACGTTTCTGGCAATGGAGACGGATTGCGTCCCTGCTCGAAATAGCAGCCAGGACGTCAGCCAGTCGATAGATGTTCTTGTGAAAACGTGGGAATGAAAGCTGCCAAGGAATCCCAGATGACAGACTTTTGAGCCTAGGAACAATGGTGAACTGAGAATGAGATACAGTAGCCAAATTACGGAATGAAAGAACGGAGTGGTTTGTTCCTTTGGCAGAGACACAGGTTGTGAGCATTAATTAAATATCTTTTCCTCTTTGCCTTTAGCTCCTCCTTAAATAGAAGGGACGCGATGGCTCAGTGGCTAAGATGCTGAGCTTGTCGATCAGCAAAGTCGGGAGTTCGAATCCCTCCCTAGCACCGAATAACAGAGTGAGTTACTTGTCCCAGCTTCTGGTAACCTAGCAGTTCGAAAGCATGTAAAAATGCAAGTAGAAAAAAAGGAATCATCTTTGGTGGGAAGGTAACAGTGTTCCATGTGTCTTTGGCATTTAGTCATGCCAACCAGGCTCTTTGACTTTGAAACAGAGTTGGGAACACTAGCACATATATGCAAGGGGAACCATTATCTTTAAATAGAATAGTTTCCATCATTATAAATCACCTGCTATGAAAAGTCTTCTGTAGAACAACTTCTATTACATGCTTAGGAGTAGAATGATAAACAGAGTTGCCAATTTTACTGCTACATTTGCCCTCTTACCATTTTTTCACCCTGTTTCTTTTTTCTTCTTCTCTTTTTTCCCTTTTTTCCCCCAACTTCCTTCTCTCCTGGCCTTTTTTCCCCCCCAAAAGGAAATAAGTACTTTGTTCTATTTCTCTTTTTTTTGTGTGTGTCAATGTTTCCATTTCTGGCACTCCTTTTTTAACTTTCCTATGTGTCAACATTCACAAAGGCATCTATTTCTGCCAATACCTACTTGGTGCTGTATTTAACAGATACAGGTAGTCCTCAGCTTAAGATCACAATTGAAGCCCAAAATTTCTGTTGCTAAGCAAGATAGTTAAGTGAGTTTTGCCACATTTTATGATCTTTCCTGCCACAGTTCTTAAGTGAATCACTGCAATTGTTAGTAACATGATTGTTAAGGGAATCTGGCTTCCCCATTGACTTTGCTTGTCAGAAGGTCACAGAAGATGATCATATGACTCTGGGACACTGCAACCGTCATAGATATGGTCAGTTGCCAAGTGTATGAACGGTTACAAGTCAATTTTTTCAGTGCTGCTGTAACTTCATACAGTGATTAAACAGACTGTTAGAAGTCAAGGATTACCTATAAACCCAGGAGAGGGACAATCACATGTCTGAAGAGAAACTGCACTTATTTTAACATTACATATTTGTTCATAGAGGCTGCAATCTAATAAAACCGTGATATAGATTCCACTCCTAAATATTTTATAAACTCAACTTGCATATTTACTGCAACAATTACAATGCATACAAATGTTAAAAAGTTAAGACTGTGCATGTAGTCATCAATTTATGACCGGGTGCTTAACAACTGTTTATGGTTACAATGTTTCCCCTCCCAAAAGTTACTTATGACCCAGATCCGAAGTTCTGATGCCCCCCCACCCCCAAGTCATTTGATCACATTTTGAGTGCTCTGCAACCAGGTTGCATTTATGGCTATTTGCAACATCCGTGATCACATGACTGTGACTTATGAGGGTTTTTTTTTTTTGCTAGAAACCAACATTTATTTCTGGTTCCTGGCAACAAATGGCCATTATTAACAATGGTTTCGTATAATGACTGCAGTGTTTGCTTTACAAACACCGTGTTCACTTAAGTGTTTGTAAAGCAAACATTTAATGCTGCAAAATTAAGTCAGTCGTGTGGGTGCTTCAACTTACAACTTACAACTACTTGGTTGATCATGAGAAGAATGAAATTCAGTCAATACTGACTGGTACCCAAGAACCCCCCCTCGCGACATCACTGTAAAGAAAAACAAAACCGCTAGCCATCTTGGAAGGAAGCAGTAAGTCCTTGAGTGTTGTTACTGGATTCAGTTGACTCAATTCTGAGTAGCTACACACTGTAAATTATGTTATATTTTTCCCCTCCAGACCTGGGATTTGGAAAAAATCACCTGCATAGGCTGGTAAGTATAGAAAAAGTTGTTGAAAGCAAATTTATTTCCATCTATTGATTCTTGTTCTGTCCTGGGGAGCTTCAGAAGATCATGTTCCAGCTCTTCAAATATTTGAAGATCACTATCATGCCTCCCCTCAGCCTTCTCTTTAGACTAAACGTATCCAGTTCTTTTACTATTCTTCCTAGCCGCCTAGCTGTCCGCAATCTTGTTGCTTTCTCTGCACTCATTCTCACCTTCCTCCTTGTACTGTGGTGACCAGAATTGGATAGAGTATTCCAGAAGTGGTCTGACCAATGCAGCATGAATCAGACTCATTTCCTATGATCTCAACATTATTACTTCTGTTGACACAGTCCAAGACTATATTAGCTTTTTGGCAGCTACAGTACATAGCTGGGTCATATATAATCTCTGGCCTACTAGGATGCCCAAATTCTTTTCATAAGTGCTCACAAGTATTACTGAGCCAGGCACCACCTATATTTTTCCTGCCTAACTGCAGAACCCTCCATTTCTTGCAACTATATTTTGTGGGCTAAGATTCAGTGTTCAAGCTTATAAAAATATTTCACACATTGAGACTATCTTCTGAAGTGGCTTACTCCCACAGCTCCAGCTTTATGTTGTAGGCAAACTTAATGAGCATCTCTTCTACCCCTTCCTCTAAGTCAGGGGTGTCAAACTGGATTTCTTCCAGGGCTGGATCAGCATTGCAGTTCTCTGCGGACTGGTGGGGAGGGAAGATGGGACAGATGTCTCCTCAGCATCTTGCTGGCCAAAATGGGATATGGAGGCCCCACAGACGGCCCCCTGTACCCCATTTTTGGCCTGAATGGCCTCCTGCAACGAGCCATGGGGGGGTCCATGCATGCCCCCCTATGCCTCCTTTTCATGCCGCCCATGGCCTCCTGCAGCACTCTGCCAGCCAAAAATGGGCCACACGGAGGCCCCACAAGGCCTCCGCGTGGCCTGTTTTCGGCATCCAGCAGCACTCTGCTGGCCAGAAACAGGCTGTGCGGACACTCTGTGAGGCCTGTTTTCGGCCTCCATGGCTGCCTGCAGCACTCTACCGGTTGAAAATGACACCGCAGGCTGGTCCTTGATATTTGCAGGCCAGCCCCATTGGCCAGATTTAAGCATTCCACTGGTCAGATCTGGCCCATGGGCCTTGAGTTTGATACCCCTGCTCTAAATTAGTTATGAAAATGTTGAAGAGCATTAACGCATGATAAAACACTCACATATCCCACTAGATCCCTCCCTCTGTTGTTTCTTCAGTTCCTGGCCTTCTCATCCCATGATGTTCTGTCAATGAGCCATGATGGCGCAGTGGTTAGAATGCAGCATTGCAGGCTAATTCTGCTGACTGCCAGCACTTTGATCCTTACTGGCTTAAGATTGACTCAGCCTTCCATTCTTCCAAGGTGGGTAAAAAGAGGCCCCACATTGTTGGGGACAATATGCTGACTCTGTAAACTGCTTAGAGAGGGATGTAAAGCACTATGAAGTGGTATATAAATCTAAATGCTATTGCTATAATAGGACAGTATCTGGTTCAGCCATGCTTACTCTTCTTAAACTTTCTTAAGAACATATGCAGTAGCTGGCTAATCACCTCTCTGGCTGATCTAGCCCAGGAGTCTGTTCTGATTCAACTAACTGCACAAGGAGTTACTGAACAGTAGCCTTCACAGGAGGTCACCCCAACATCAAATTTAGTAGTGACTGATTCCCTTGACCTGCATCAATTGGTCCACTTCTTTTCTGAAGCCACCCATGCTGGTAGTCAGCATCCACTTCTGATCTTCTTGCTTCTCTGGGTTACATGCTTTCCCTTGTGTCATATATAATATTTTGCAAATAGGTCATGGCTTAGTTTAAAGACGGTGTGCTGAATACCTTGCTTGTCCTTCAACCTGCTTTTTTAGCTATTATGAACTGTTTATCTGCACTGAAATACTTTCTAAAGCAATTAATGAATGCAAAATGTCCAGGAGACATACTTCACAACAAACTAAATGGATCAAAATGTATGTGAAAGAGCCAAAAATAAATAAATTGTCCTCTTTCAGTGGAGAAAAAGAAGATGAGGCCAGGGTGTGATTTATAACCTCTAAGTCCGTGATGGCAAACCTGTGGCACGGGTGCCAGAGGTGGCACGCAGAGCCCTCTCTGTGGACACGCGCGCCGTCGCCAGCTGCTCTTCTGGTTTCCGGCCAGCTGGTCTGCAGGAGCCGTAGTACTGGAAAACGGCCCCAGAAAAGGCTGTTTTTCAGGGTGTTTTCAGACCATTTTTGATTCGAAAAATGACCTGAAAATAGCCAAAAAAAAAAAAAAACCAGCCAAAAAACAGACTATTTCGGGCCAATTTTCAGGCCGTTTAGGGCCATTTTCAGCTGGTTTTGGGTTGTTTTCAGGTCATTTCTCAGCTGGTTTTGGCCCAAAAAATGGCGTAAAATGGCCTGTTTTTTGGTCATTTTTCAGGCTGTTTTCCGATGCTCCAAGTGCCTGCGAAGACCAGCTGCTGGCATGCATACTCGCACATTCCAGTTTGGACACTTGGTGCCGAAAAGGTTCACCATCACTGCTCTAAGTTATCACTCTAAAGAGGATTTTAATACTATCAAGCATTTACTTAAAGAATTTAAATGGGACCTGAAATTGAGATGGAAATAATCTTTTACTGTATT